TACCGCTTCCAGTGCATGTATAGTTTAAAGTTGCCAATGTAGTGTAAGCCTGTATTGACAGTTTATTGATTTACACATGAATATATCTAAAAAAAAATAATATATATGCTAGGTACCTAATTCAAGTAAATATATTATAAGCACTGAATATACATTTATAGTGATGGACAGGCATGCAATTTTATCTATCTCGTATAGTAAGTTCAGAATACGATAGTTATAAACTTTCTATAATGTAGACGATTTATTATTCTCTATGATTTGAATGCGAAATTATCCCGATTTCCGAGTTTTATTTTTGATATTAAAAAAATATTACATACATTAAAAAAGGAATTGAGCGATAGAAAATTGTAATACAGTACTGTTTTAAAGCCTTTATAAATAAATTGATATCTGCCACTTAAAAGAAAGAAAATCAATCTATAGATTAGATTTGGTTATTACATGTATATTAGATAAAAAGTTAAATTATTTATGACATATGATCTATACTCTATATACCCAAGGAATTATAAAAGATGTGAAAAGACGATTCTTGGATTCTTGTGAAATACTCAAAGAGTTAAAAAAAAAATATGTGAAAACGCGATTCTGTGTGAAATAATGGTACGCTATATGTTTCTTTTGAAAAAAAAAACATGATAAAAAAAATTGCACAGGACTCTTGATATGTGGGATAAGTATACCTGAATGAACACAGTTTTATGCAATGATATATAATTATGTACATGCAACTGACGTCCGTACTTTTCCTTATAATTCATAAAACATAAAACTATCTAATTCCTTTGAAGCCTCCCCCCCCCCCCCCGTCTTGATTAATATTTGGAGACGTTCATGCAGCTAGGCATTTGAATTATATATTCGTTTTAGATTTAAATCTGGAACATGTGAATATAATTACCATTTACATGTATACAGAATTTCATATTCTATAATGGTAGATTTGTCATTATGAAATGTTCAATTTACGTCTGAGAGAGAGAAAGAGAGAGAGAGGGGGGGGGGGAGAGAGATTCCCTCTTAATCCCGATCCTCCTATCCATTTACATTGACCAAAAATTAGTTCTATATCGGTCACACCCATTCTTTATTAAATGTTTTCTGATTTCATAGTCAGTCATGGTCACATCCTGTATATTTTTCAGCTTAAAAAGTATCACACGAAGTGCACGTGTGTTGACCTGTCAATCAAAATCACTTGACGCTGTATGCAATGCAATTAAGTAGCCTGAGTTTGAAATGATCTTGAAGTACGATCTTTAAGTAAATCTGATGCAACAAACTTGTAAAAAAAATAGAATAAAATAAAAAATAAAATATCTCGATATTATGAACTTCGATTGTGGGACGTGGAGACCGGTCCTTTGGATGAGATCGTATAAATCGAGGTCCCTTGTCGCAGAAGATGCTGGCATAAAAAAGATTCCCCACTGCTCAATTGCGATAAGTGCCAAAGTATAGGACAAAAATTTGCAGTCTCCACCGGCGAGTGGTGGCGTCTCCATGTGAGTGAAAAATTCAAAAATTCTGGAGAGGGACGTTAAACAACATACGTATAATCAATCAATCAATCAATCGATTGCTGAAGAATTGCTGTAAATGAATAATCTGTCTTATAGGTATGCTGTCAAATCTTGATATTATAACTTTACAAAATTCAGTGACTTTACGTTTAGTGTGATACTAACTTAATTCATTATATTTTTTTATAACACCATCACAATTATGTTAAAATATACACACAATGAAGTTTATGATAGTACGGTGTTCGTTCGTCTGTTTGTTTGTCTTAGAAATGATTGCATACAATTTTTTTTTTTAAATTGCTAATGATATACGTTTATCTCTTATAGGTGCCAAATGTATTATACAAGATTGATAATGAAAATCAAAGTACCTTAAGTACTGAAAGGACTTTTTTCCAGTTATTTTTTTCTTTCACAGTAAATATGATATGTATGTTTTTTACACAGAAAAAAAGCAAATTCTTACAGATTTAGAAGAACGGAAGACTTTTTTGTTGCCATGGCAACAAGAGTCTAGTTATTATTATTTTTCTTCCTGGGTACTTTTTTGTCCGTGAGTGATCTCCGAAACTACACATCCGATTGAGATGAAACCTTTTTAGGGTTAATAGGAGTGTTATGTAGATTTGCGGAACGAAGGTCATTTTGCGCGCACGTGCATGCACGTGCGCGCGCGTGCAATGAGTAAAATGACCAATATACTTGATATAGCCATAACTTTCATATCTTTTGATGAAATACTTTGATACTCAGAATATAAGGATATATTAATAGTGTAGTCAAGATGACATGGTCAGAATGCACATGCATGCACGTGCGCGCATGCGCATTGATTGAAATAACCAATACCATTGATATATACTTAACTTGTACATTTTTTGACAAATTGCTTTGAAACTCAGAATATAAATATATATTTGAAGTGTAGACAAGAAGACTTGATCAGCGCACACATGCATGCACGCGCGTGCACGTTCGTGCGCGTGCAATGAGTAAAATGACCAATATACTTGATATAGCCATAACTTTCATATCTTTTGATGAATTGCTTTGATACTCAGGATATCAGGATATATTAATAGTGTAGACAAGATGACATGGTCAGAATACACATGCATGCACTTGTGCGCATGCGCAATGATTGAAATAACCAATAAAATTGATATAGACTTAACTTGTACATTTTTGATGAATTGCTTTGAAACTCAGAACATAAATATATATAAGAAGTGTACACAAGATGACATGATCAGCGCACACATGCATGCACTTGCATGCACGTGCGTGCGCGTGCAATGAGTAAAATGACCAATATACTTGATATAGCCAAAACTTTTATATCTTTTGATGAAAGACTTTGATACTCAGAATATAAGATTATATTAATAGTGTAGACAAGATGACATGGTCAGCATGCACATGCATGCACGTGCGCGCGTGCGCAATTATTGAAATCACCAATACAACTTATATACACTTAACTACGATTTTTTGATGAATTGCTTCGAAACTCAGAATATTAAGATATATTAGAAGTGTAAACAAGATGACATGGTCAGCGCACACATGCATGCACGTGCGTACGCGTGCAATGAATAAAATTACCAATATACTTGATATAACCATAACTTTTACATTTTTTGATGTAATGCTTCGATACTCAGAATATATAGACATATTATAAATGTAGACAAGACGACGTTGTCAATATGCACATGCATGCACGTGCGCGCGCATGCAATGCTGAAATGACCAATATACTTGATATAGCTGTAACTTTTATACTTGTTGATGAAATGCTTTGATACTCAAAATATGTAGATATAATAATAGTGTTGACAAAATGGCACGGTCATCATGGACATGCATGCACGTGCGCGCGCGTGTAATACGTAAAATGACAGATATACTTAATATAGCCGAATTTTTTTTCCATCTTTTGATGAAATTTGAATATAAAGATGTATTAAACGTGTAGACAAGTTGACATGGTAATTTTGAACATGCATGCCCCTGCGCGCGCGTGTAATGCGTAAAAAACCAATATACTTGATTGCCTTATTTAATGAAGCTTACAGGGAATAAGACACCAAAAGGAAGTTGGGGAGCGTTTGGGGAACATCTGTAACGGTCCCCGTTACAATTAATACTAGTTCTGACTGTTATGAACAAAATTATTGTTTACGAGGATCTTTTAATAAGTAATGCAAAAGGTCATCTAAAAGTAAGAAAGCACGTAAGGCAGTTTCTTAAAATTTTTAATCCCACAAAGCATGCATTCCTTGTTAACCTTTACACGTGTATTAAGGTTTTAAACCCATGACCAGAAAACCTCACCACACTCATCTTTAGGGATGCTCAAAATACGCTGATGTAAAGCACCTCCCATGACAGATCTGAAATTTTGAAGTCTTGTTTGATTGTTTTCTTGCGTTTTTGGTTTTTGATTAAAAAGACAATGACTGAGATCTGGCAAATAAGGGGAATGGTTAAGCTCTGTTAAGATTCCTTTCTTCACAATTTCCTTATTTCTCTACACTTCTTTGCAGCACCATTGTCAAGTCAGAAAAATTACCATTAAATTGTATTTTGACTTTCCTTACAGAAAACCAGCTTAACTTTCCCTAGTGCAATTTTAACATAATATAAATTATCATTGACGGATGTATGTACATGTATTACTAATAGGACGATAGCTTTTTCTTTGATTTCTCATTTTAATATCGATCTTCCTTTTAGGCTCTATAAAGTGCACCAAAGTTTCGTCATCCATCACCAATGTTTATTAAAACCTTCCTTTTTGAAAAAATGTGTATTTTGTTAAATAGACCAATGGCACATTTAACGCGCGTTTTCTCTTAGGCATCTTTAAATAAAATAAGGCGCCTGTTTGTCAGAACTCTATAAACTGTTGTTATGATGAAATATTTAATGTCTTAACAATGTCTTCTAGTGTAAATCTGGCTTTTTTCAGATCTCGCGTTGCTCGCAACATTGATAGTTTCTTGGTGTCCCTACAGATTTGGATCGACCAATTCTACTGCAATCTTTCAATACCTTTTTTACTTCTAAATTTCTCAATAGGGATTTTGCTGAACATAGCTATCTGATATCTTTAAAGGGGAGGAGCAGATCTTACCTCACTTTTAAATATTTTATTCAAAACTAAGATCCAAAGAATAAGTTATGGTTTAAAAGGCTTAAATGGACTCTATCAAATTTGTATTAAATCATTACCACCAGCAAAGTTTTTATCATAATTTGAAAAACATATTAAACAATTGCTCATCTGATTAGATAAATTCTATTTAATCTATTTCTAATTCATAGCTCCAAGAAAAAAGGCCTTGAGTCAGAGCTAAATTTAAGATCAGGGTACCTATTTTATTTTTCTTTACCAAGAATGTTTAATAAAATTACTGTTGACTTCCTGTTGGATTTCCACTAAGAAACGAAAGTGGACAAGCCATGGACTGGATAAAGTATCCTCTTTTAGCGGTAATTTTATCTATTATTGCTTGGGTTTATTATCACCAAGAAACACAGTTAAAAGAGTACAAATTGCTACTCAATACAGCATTAGAAAAAACAACGTCTTTAGATCGAAAGGTAAAGGAATTAAGTGGAACCGTTTTGACAAGCGAGGAGAACATTGCCACAATCAGGAAAAAGATTGAGAAGACCAACATTGCCATGGAGGAAATCAAATCCAGAAAGACAAAAGCATTGTCTTCACCCGAGTCAAACATAACTAATTTAAATCGTGAATTTAGAGAAATGGAGGGCTCTGTAGCATCAATCCAGGAGAATATGGAATCCCTGCAGGAACAGATTATTGACTTGGAATCGCTGGTTTCCTCCGTTGATGCAAAATGTGAATTAACAAGACGAGAGGTTGAAGCCGTAATACCGGCTATGACTGGAAAGATCAATCTATTGATGCAAAAGGATCGAAACTTGCGCGCAGATTTCAACGGTAGAGTTCTTTTTATCTGTTTTAGAAAGTGTGTAATATAGTTTTTATCATAACAAAGTGAAATACAGACTGAACCTGAAAAGGGATTGGATACCCCTACAAAAAATTTCGACAAAGCAATTCAATTGGTATCGAACGGAAAACTTTCCATCCCAGTACTCGATAGTGTAAAACTAAAACTTCCTGGTCCATACAGAAGCTGCAGATCTGTACCTCACTGGTCTAAATAATGGAATGGACGACCAGAGAGCTACAGATCCAGTAAAAGCAGTAAAAAGAGGCGAATTGTCCATGGTTTCAAATTCAGGGCCACAAGGGCTATTATTAAAAACGGTTCCCCCGCATTTTTTCATCTCTTGTTTTGTTTGGGAAAATATTTTGTTGTTCGTAAGGAAATTATCCCTCCGAAAGACGTGTCGTTCTCTTGAATATCATCTCGTTCGCACGACTTATAATTTCAATCTGTACGGTCAATACTATTTTACTGTTTAGTATTTCCTGCATATTATGTGTTCACTTTTTGTCTCGTTTCTATCAATTTAATTTGTCACATTATTTGAAATATCACTCTAGTATTACTTATTTCCTTGAGATGAATCAGAGTTTAGTATTGTCTCTATTAGGGATGCGCGATTATATCGATATACCGGTATATCGCAATTTTTTATTGCGTGATACGTATCGTGATACGGAGACTAAAATACCGGTATTTTGTACATAACTATAAATTCCGGAAATTATTCATTTATTTGTTCAAACTATTGAATGACAATTACAGGAAGTGTAAAAAATGTTGAAAACAGTTAGACAATGGCATCAAAAACATGCTTTATACTAAATAAATGAAAATTTAAAAAGTAAAGTTATGTTTTTACAGGATATTTTTAAGAAATGTTATGGAAATTCATTTGAAATTGTCGTAAAAATTGCGTGTAAAAATATCACGATTTATCGTAATATTTTTGGGAAAAAATCGTGATATATCACGATACGAAAATTTTGCCGATACCCATCCCTAGTCTCTATCGACATTTAACCCAATAACCTTGTACTTTTCCGGCACCTAGCACAGGGGGGAGGGGCGGGGCAATGCCCCCCCCCCACACTTTTTTCATAACATTAACATAACCTTTTTCTATTAAAAATGTTCATTGAAAGGCCGAATGCCCCCCCCCCCCCCACTTTTTGTTGCAGTATAGCCAAATAAGGGTTCAGGGTAATGTAGTGAATGAATGAAATTATAAAGTTTGGTACTGAATGAAGTTGGAACATACCTCCCCCTCCAAGAAATAGAATTCTTTGCTTTTTAGGTTTTTTCAGGTAAGTTTTAAAAAAAATCCTGACTCCCCCCCTCCTTCAAAACTACTACTACGTCTTTGCTTTTACAAGAAATACTGCGATATAAAATTTGATTTTAAAGTACAGAGCTAGGGTTCTGCCATGAACATTAATAAATGCCTTTTGAGAAGTATTTCCATAAGAATTAATTTTTTAAATTTTATTATGGTTTTTCGTTTGTCTAGCATTCAAAAATATTTATCTTCTTGTTTCTTTGTTTGTAGGTTCCATGCTATTTCAAAGTCTCTCGCTACACAGGGATTTGTACATATCTAAGGACGAAAAAGTTCTTAGCAATTATTACTTCCCGTTAGCAAAGTCTGGTCCAGGGATTTTCCCACTCATTTTCTACAGAGGGGTTATGGGCAACTCAAAAATATCGCTACTTGATGATGTAAAGTTCAAATTCATGGTATGGTTTCACATAAAGAAAACACTGGTGGATCACATGATAATTTTTGACTTTTCTCTCTGTTCAAAACACGATTTTGATAAAATGTTTTATGGTCACGACTGTTACGGTGTGCATGGAAGGAAATATAATGACATGATAGTTCTAAAATTTGTTACGAAATCTCGCCTTTATGAAACAGAGTTTGAGCATTATCCATTTTCAACAGCACAAGCTGGGACTATTTATTCAATGGCGTTCGAAATACACATCAATGCTTTGAAGGGAATTGTTACTTTTAGTGAGTACTTTAGTGGACGACTGATCTATGCTATGGATTCTGTGGACTTTCTCACCCCTTTGTATCCTATGTTTGGATTGTACAACAAAGATCAAGTGCATGTACAATTAATCATGATTTAATTTTTGATCTAATCTGAGTGTAAACTATTAAGTCATACCTTCATGATTTAAAAAAAAAATGAAATGCAAATGAATTGTGTGTGTGAAAAAAGAACCTTTTTTTTTAAATTCATCTTACAAACTTGCTTAACATAACGACATTTTTTCTTCGATTGGTCATGGAGAACAGAAAAATTCAAATATGTGATGTAAAAATGTATATAAAAGAATCAACTAAGAAAGATGCAGATTGACAAACGTCTTGTATAAATTTTGCTATGCATATTTCAATTTAACCAAATTAGTTCCGCTTTGCTACCAACACAGAAAGAGGTCTGCAAGATTGATTGATTGATTTTATGATGTTTTAGTCCCATTTGAGAATTTTTCACTCACATTGAGATGTCACCATATACATGTTAAGGGCTTCAAATTTACACCTTTACTAGGCACTCAGGGCCATTGAGCAATACAATCAATTAAATAAAAGAAGGTGCTTTAACTTATGTATAAACATCTGAATACAATTCAAAACATATGTATAGATAAGGAGGTATAACATTTTATATACTCAGTATTCTATAATGATTCACTGCTCATATTTATCGAGTTCGGGGTGGGAGGGGGGTGCAAGACTGTTGAGGTTCACGTCTATGTATCAGACAGATCTGAAATTTTGAAGTCTTCCTTTGATTGTTCTCTTGCATTTTTGGAGTAAAAAGTTCCCACAATGACTGAAATCTGGCGAATTAGGGGAATGGTTAAGCTCTGTAAACTTTCCTTTCTTTAAAATCTCCTTATTTCTCTACGATTCTTTGCGGCAGCACTGTCAGGACAGAAAAATTACCACTGGGACCGGTATTTTGACTTTCCTCACAGAAAACCAACTTAAACTTTCCTTAGTGCAATTTTAACATATAAATTATCATTGACAGTCCTTCCTTTGGGTGTATGTACATGTATTACTAGACCTCTTAAGTAAAAAAGAAAACGTTAAGATGTTTGGAGCCCTTTCTTCTCTTTGCAATAATAAGACGGCAGCATTTTTCTCTAATTTTATTATTGATCTTCCTTTTGAACTATATAAAAAGCAGCAATGTTTCGTCATCCATCACCAATGTATTATCAAACCTTCCTTTTGAAAAAAAAATGTATTTTTAAATAGACCATTGGCACATTTAACGCACGTTTTCTCTTGAGCACCTTTAAGAAAATAAGGCGCCTATCTGATAGAAATATTTTTAGATTGAACTCTATAAAGTGTTGTTATGATGAAATATTTAGTGTCTTAACAATGTCTTCCAATGTAAATCTGGCATCTTCAGATCTCGTGTTGCTCGCAGTATTGATAGTTTTTTGTGTCCCTATAGATTTGGATCGACCAATTCTACTGCAATCTTTCAACTCTCCTTTTTTTTTACTTCTAAATTTCTCAAAAGGAATTTTGCTGAACATAGCTATCTGATATCTTTAAAAGGGGGAGGCAGATCTTACCTCACTTTTAAATATTTTATTGAAAATAAGAACCAAAGAATAATTTATAGTTTAAAAGGCTTAAATGGACTCTATCAATTTTGTATTAAATCATTACCACCAGCAAAGTTTTTATCGTTATTTGAAGAACATATTAAACAATTGTCCATCTGATTAGAGATCCGCTATTAAATACTAAGTAAATTCTATTTCTAATTCATATCTCCAAGAAAAAAGGCCTTGAGTCAGAGCTAAATTTAAGATCAGGGTAGCTATTTTATTTTTCTTTAACAAGAATGTTTAATACAATTACTGCTGACTTCCTGTTGGATTTCCACTAAAAAACGAAAGTGGACAAGCCATGGACTGGATAAAGTATCCTCTTTTAGCGGTAACTTTATCTATTATTGCTTGGGTTTATTATCACCAAGAAGCACAGTTAAAAGAGTACAAATTGCTACTCAGTAGAGCATTAGAAAAAACAGCGAATTTAGATCGAAAGGTAAACGAATTAAGTGGTACCGTTTTGACAAACGAGGAGAACATTGCCACAATCAAGAAAAAAATTGAGAAGACCAATATTGCCGTGGAGGAAATCAAATCCAAAAAGACAAAAACATTATCTTCACCCGAGTCAAACATAACTAATTTAAATCGCGACGTTAGAGAAATGGAGGACTCTGTAGCATCAATTCAGGAGAATATGGAATCCTTGCAGGACCAGATTATTGACTTGGAATCGCTGGTTTCCTCGATTGATGCAAAATGTGAATTAACAAGACGAGAAGTGGAAGCTGTGATACCGGCTATGACTGGAAAGATCAATCTGTTGATGCAGAAGGATCGAAACTTGCACGCAGATTTCAACGGTACTTTTCTTTTATTCATTTTTTATGAAGTATGCAATGTAGTTTGCATTGCAACAAAATGAAATAAAGATTGAAGCTGAAAAAAAGTTGGATACTCTTCAAAAGAATTCCGACACAGCAATTGAACCGGAAACGAAAGCTTTCTATCAGAAGGTTCTTGATAGTGTAAAAATAAAATTTCAGATGGTTTACAATGTATTAGCTGCAGATCTCTGGCTTACTGGCCTAAAACATGAAATTGTGAAATTCATTTCCTCTGGGTCAGGGGATATGATGAGAATCTGTTGATCATATTGTGAAAATGCCTTCATGTTCTCTGTTATTGGACATCTAAGAGGCAAACAGAGTATAAAGTTCATATGCGCTCCCCATGAAAGTTTGTTGATGACGAAATGATAAGTCTACATAGGTCTACCCCTCTATACCATAAAATCTGTGTTGATTTTATGGTATAGAGAGGTAGACATCATTTCGCCATCTACAAACGTACATGGGGAGCGCCTATGATAAAGTTGTAATGAGCAAAAACGTTTTCACCAGATTTGTGAAATTATTGACTACTGGGTCAGGAGTTCTGGTGCAGGACAGGGTTCTATTGATTGTGCTGTACTATGAAGATATGAATTATTTATTCAAAATCTTCTGCATGAAAAGGAGAAGTCTATTGCCGTGATCTTCAATTCGAAATTCGACGTCGCCCGCGTGGCGCAGTGGTTAGAGCGTCTGCTCTAGAGTCGCGAAGTAAGGAGTTGATCCTTACGTCGCGGGTTCGAATCCCACTGTGGGACGTGGAGGCCGGTCCTTCGGATGAGACCGTATAAACCGAGGTCCCGTGTCGCAGTAGGTGCTGGCACGAAAAAGATCCCTCACTGCTCAATGGCCGTAAGTGCCGAGTATAGGACAAAATTTGCAGCTCTCCACCGGCAATGGTGGCGTCTCCATATGAGTGAAAAATTCTCGAGAGGGACGTTAAACAACATACAATCAATCAATCAATCGAAATTCGACATATATCTAGATATATCAATTATTAGTAGTAATATTCATTCAAACGTTGATTCGATGTATCCCATAGAACTCGAAATAAGAGACACCACAGATTCTAAAACATCTGTTTCATGTTTGGTTTGTTTGTTTGTTTATTGTTGTTTAACATTCCTCTCGAGAATTTTTCACTCATATGGAGACGTGGGCCACCACTTGCAGGTGGAGAACTGCAAATTTTGACCTATACTCGGCACTCAGGGACATTGAGCAGTGAGGGATCTTTTTCGTGCCAGCACCTGTGACACGGGACCTCGGTTTATACGGTCTCATCCGAAGGACCGGTCTCCACGTCCCACAGTGGGATTCGAACCCGCGACGTAAGGATCAACCCCTTACTCCATAAATCTAGAGCAAACGCTTTAACCACTGTGCCACGCGGGCGTTTCATGTTTGGATATTTTACTAGAGAAAGACAAAGATGACAAACTATAAGAACTAACAACTAAACTTTAAGATGAACGTGATGACTTCAATGTTTTCAATCGTCAACTTCCCTTATATATGTAGCAATACACCATTATCACCTGCAAATGGAGTTTATATCTCCCAGTTGATTCTGTATGCAATTTACGTTCGCGCAATTTCTAAAACGAACCATGCTCTTGACAAATGTTGATTATAAATTGATGATACAAGGATATCAATAATCTCGTGTAATGTCAACATTTCATTAAGTCGAATGTTGGATGACGTCTCTCATACAAATTTTCACACTGAGTGTCTACGGATTACCTGTTTACCCGATTATGACAAGGGACATATGGCAGGGGATGCTAAGTTCCTCATAGCACCTGATCCCACCGCTGGTTCAGAGGTCCATGTAGTCCTGCTCAAAATTTTAAATGGACTTTTGAGCGTTATGACTGTTCAGTGTCTTCACATTTCATCCCCTTTTGCTATTCAATTTGATAATTAATCATAATTGAATAAGAGAATTGTACAATTATTTTAATGTATATATTAAAAAGATAAATACATGTAAATATGAGACGGTATATCAAACATTCAAAGAGAAAGAGGGGCCAATGGTAAGGAGATTATGCTGGTTGTACTTTGTTAATACGAAGTTTTATGGTCAAGCGCTTTGATGTAAATGAGAATGTAGGTAGTACTTGCACATACAGGCAACTAACAGAAGTTCATACAATAAGATTTATGTGTAGATGTACTTCCTGAGTTGTTGCTGATCAGCCATTTCGTTGATCCCTGATCGTCCTAGTTTTCTTGTTTGTTTGTTTGTTTTTGTTTTTTGCAACATATCTTCATCTATCAAATATTTAGTTTAATTGTATTATTTTTAAATTTGCCATTCTATGGATCCTTTACAGGGTTGTATTATACTCAGGTGGCTGATTGTAAAGTAGCTGCGGGTGTGTCATGCAAGTCCATATGGACAAAATGTTTCAATACTTTAACTTTTCCCCCATGATTTTTTTCTTTGTTATCTAAGCCATCGAAAAATGTGTTTATCGTCTGTCTCTTTACTTGTAGGTTCCATGTTATTTCAAAGTCTTTCGCTACACAGTGATTTGTACATATCTAAGGATGAGAAAGTTCTTAGCAATTACTACTTCCGTTAGCAAAGTCTGGTCCAGGGATTTTTGCACTCATTGTCTACAAAGGAGTTATGGGAAACATCAAAATATCTCGATTTGATGATGTAAAGTTCAAATTCATGTTTTGGTTCCACATAAAGAAAACAATGCGTGAAGACGCTTTATTGTTTGACTTTTCCCTCTGTTCAAAACACGATTTTGATCTAATGATTCATGGCGCCAACTGTCATGGTATGCACGGTAAGAAATATAATGACATGATAGTTCTATCATTTCGTTCCAAGTCTCGTCTCGATGAATTAGAATCTAAGTATTATCCCCTTTTACCTGCATCGGCCGGTACTATTCATTCAATGGCGTTCGAAGTACACATCAATGCTATGAAGGGAATTGTTACTTTTAGTGAGTACTTCAGTGGACGACTGCTCCATGCTATGGATTCTGTGGATTTTTTCACCCCTTTGTATCCAATGTTTGGATTGTACAACAAAGATCTAGTACATGTACAATTAATTATTATTTAAATTTCAAACAGACTTAATGAAGTATACTTCCGTGAAAAACTACCAAACCTTTATGATTCACGTTTCTTAAATGGTATGTGTGAAGAAAGAATATTTCCCCCCATTTTCCATCATTAAATTTATAAACTTGTCGAAAATCATGACTGGTATTCAATTTTCTTCAATGGAGAGCAAAGGTGTGATATAAATAATATAGAATATTTTGTAATGTAGTAATAAATCAATTAAGGAGGGCTGAAACGAAGTTTGAGAAACATGCTGCACATCGCCATCATGCTTGTTCAAATGCTCATCTCAGTTTCAAGTCATAGATTTAAAGCGCTTCGCAACCAAGATCCACCCATCTAGGAAAATAACATATGGGGGAAATAGCTTGCTGTCTTATATACTTAAAACCAGAAGTCTCTGACGAGACTGTAGCTCTACTGGTTGTACTTATGAAGGAAGATAATAGTAGCACTTGAACTTCAAACTTTACACCAGCAATAAATAGAATGATATCCTTGGTTTAGTCTCTTTTTGTGGCAAGATTTATTGCAATCAGTCTAAAACTGTAGGAGGAGTAGCCTTTTAAAACAATTTTACAGAAATTTTGATTTAAGTAACCATGGCAACATCATTCAACAAAATCAAAAAACAATAACGACAATTATGTATCTCAGTGTAGTCTACTCGTATGCCAAGTTATACTGAAATAAGACAAGAGGTGTAGAAGGAGTAGCGTTTTGAAAATATTTCAAGAAAATTTCTATTTCTATTTCTAGTAACCATGGCAACACTGTTAATCGAAATCCAAAACTGGTAAAGGGAATTTTGTATCTTAGTGTAGTCTACTTGTGTGCCAAGTTATACTGAAATCAGACCAAAACTGTAGGAGGAGTAGCATTTTGAAAGTATTTCAAGGAAATCTCTATTTTTAGTAACCATGGCAACGCCGTTCATCGAAATCAAAAACCGATAAACAGAATTATGTATCTTAGTGTAGTCTACTTGTGTGCCAAGTTATACTGAAATCAGATCAAAACTGTAGGAGGAGTAGTGTTTTGAAAGTATTTCACAGAAATTTCTATTTTTAGTAACCATGGCAACACCTTTCATTGAAATCAAAAACCTGTTGTTACAAAATATAATTGGTTACTTAATGTAAAATTTTTACTATTTTCATTAGGGATTGGAGAAGCTTGTCAAAATATTACAAACAAAAATATGTTTTTAAAAATTTTTAACAAAAGATTAACTGTTTTCAACAAAAATGTGAGGCTTTTTTTCTTCGTCACCAAAGTGTTCTGTGTATAGATATCTAACAAATAAGCTGTGCATCCAATCCAATTCCAACCAAGTATATTTAATTGATTGCAAAATATAGACTAAGTGCATATGTATTAATGATTGAGAAGGAAAGATTTACTCATATTCCTAGAGGGAATAGATTATGTTTTTCTGTCAATTAGAGGTTGAAGATGAGTACCATTTTTTTTTTGAAATGTTCACTTTATCATGAGTACAGGAACTTGTATATTAAAAGGTGACTAATTATTAGTCATGTACTCATTGGCAATTGAAAATTGTTAATTAGTGAAAGACGATCTGGATAGAAATGATAAACACATTATTACATCGTGTATCATTTATTCAGTCTCGGTTAAGACTTTACAAACTTCTAAACCTAAGAACAGCCATACACGTTAAATATGGCGTCTACATATGCTTAGTTGAATAAGTACACCATTTCTATAACTCGATAAATAAAACAAATAAGAAATAAAAATGATCGAATCCAAGTTCATATATGGGTGAATTAAAAAAAAAATGACCACCAAACTGAAATTTTTTGGAAAAATTCAACTACTTCTAACATACTTTTCACTTATATCATCATGTTGCACATGCATTCTAGTTTAAAATCCTGAAGTGGCAAAAGAATAGACAATTGGATTAAAAAAGTTTCAGAATTTTTATTTGTAAAATTTCTTTTGAAAAAAGAAAATATCATTACACCTTAAAAGACTTTCTAAAATACATAATCACAAGAAATTATAGTTTTTTTATGCTTCAAAATGGTAAAAGGGGTATAAATGATTAAATCTAGACCTTGATTGAGTATCTTCTCTTGTATATGTGACAAAAAATTGGCTTTTTGATTGTTATTTTACATTATTTTTTCAATTCTGATTTGAAAAGTTTTATTATGAAGAAAATATGAAGCAATAAAATTCCCCAAAATTCACTTTTTTGTCCGTTTAAGTCAATTCTTTAAATCTAAGCCAAAAAATTTTTTTTATATATGAGTTCTCTTACAAAAAATACTAGATTTTGAAGTGACCCTATGTAACATTATTGTGTTGCACTCCTGACATCTGATATGTATTTTATTTAACATTGTTTTAAAAATTATAACACACAATTATCCATTCTTACTTTGTAAATCAATTTGTCGTTTTGATATTTTTCATCATTTATGGCAGGTTTTTCATTTTTTGAGAAACTTAAAACATGATTATTTGCAAAGTATAAAATATATAAATTGTATTTAAAAATATATGTGAAATGAAAACTATTTCCTGAATTGACTGTAAAATTTCTGTAATTTGTTGATAGACATAGTATTTTGAACATCAAATAGTATCAAACATTTTTTTTCAACTTATTTTTTATTAAAGATAGTTAAAAAGCATTGGTAATAATAAATCAGTTTTGTTGAACTCCTGACTGCAGTAAAATTTAAAATTAAAACCACAGAACACAAAAATTCATAAAGTGTTGGCAACATCAAGTGGTAATGAAATTGTGCAATATTTATAGTCCAATACTTCATAATTAAAACAGATGAAAGTATTTAAAATTCGCATTTTATCTGGAATTATTCCCTATTTATGCCAAAAAACTAGCTTAAATGTATATTTAGAAGATAAAATAGATTTAAATAGCATATTTTCCTTTAGAGGACAAACACAGTTACCCACCAGAAAAATTCTACTCATCATTTTTTTTTTTATTTTTATTCTTATTGGATGATTTGTAACTCTAACATATTTGTTGCACTCCTGACCAAAAGCATTGTGGCCTTTAAAGTAGAATTGTGAAGTGAAAATTACATAAGAACTTGTTCTGTTGTTTCAGTGAAGTTGAGGTGGAATTACTTGAATTTTATGACAATTTTTAGTGTGTTTATTTTTAACATTCATTAAAAAAATCACAAAAAAGATAAAAACACATTTGAATTGATAAAACTGAAAAAGGAAGGATTTTAATAAATAAAACTTTCAATAATTTAGTACTAAATTATACAAAAAGATCATTATTAATTAATGAATACTTCTAAGCATGAATAGAAGTGTTTTCGTCACACAACTTGAATCTTTAAAAAAAAATGTGTTGCACTCCTGACCATAGAAATATAGATCTGAAGCACAGACAGATTCTGTAATTGATAAATCTATTTGGTAAAAATGTTCTTTGTGTCTTTATTTTCCAAAATAAAAATCAGAAAATCATATAATAATTCTAGTTTTTTTTCATGCTTGGGAGCAAAACATCAAATGTTGCACTCCTGACATTATTGGGTATGCACATATACTTGACTCTCATTAATGCTGCTTGTGATTTATATAACATTTTTAAGTTTTAAAGTGTATATCAGTTATTGTTTTATACTTCAAAAATTCTTTTTTGTCTTAATTTTCTTTCAGAATTTTACAAATGATGTTTTTTTGGCAACACTACATTTTTTCTGTTGCACTCCTGACATGGTATAACATTTTTTTAAACATCAGCCATGACCACAACTTGATTAAACGAAAGTTACTACAGTCCACATTTAAAGCTCAATACTTTGAATATTATCAGGAAAGTCTTTATTTTCAACATAAAGCATTATTGTTTATTTCACAGATCTCCGAAAATTATTGAAATTTCAAAATGTCACAAAAAGGTGTTGCACTCCTGACAATTTTAGCATCATTTTTGGGCATAACTTTTTTGTTAATTGAGATATCAACGAGATATTTGGCAGGTATTTAGACACTATCTAAAGACATATGCTGAGACATAGAAATCTATTTTCATTGCCTGTATTTTTAGTGTTGGTTGATAAATATGCGTTTGGTCATTTTTTTTTTAATTCACCCATATTTTCTCCTCAATACAAACTGTCTAGAGGTTTTCCATGATCAGGAGACGCGATGAAAAAATAAATCAACATTTAAACATTTGTTCCTTTTTGTGCCCCTTTTTTCTAAGATTATTTAAGACAGGAAAAAAATCGTTGAAAAACCCTATTTGTTGTCCATTATAAGGTAATGGTCCTTTTATTATTGGTAAACAATGTAAAATATATTTGTACAGGTACATGTGTCAATTCAATGGTTAATAGCACGTTTAATTTACAAAAGTTGTCCATGTTGAAGTTCATTGGTCCACCGCATAGTAAATTAAATAAATCATCCTTCAAGTGCATTTCCGTGTGTCAAAGAATAAAATGAGAACTCTGAAAAAAAAAATTGAAAGAAAGAGTACATATAACTTCTTTTAGAAAAGGAAACTTTTGAAACTTGCATGAAACAAGCTTCTTCCTTTGATGACGAAAGCAACAAGAACAAGAGGCCCAGGGGCCACATCGCTCACCTGAGCACTGTGCCTAGGAAAAGAAGAAAAATCAGTTTAGTATTGAAAAGCTTAAATGCATAAGTGGTCCCAACCTACCCCTAAAAGGGAGTGGGGGGTATGATTTGAACAAAATTAAATCTACACTAACTAAGGATGCTTACATGATTTTTTGACTAACTGTGACTTTTTTCTCTACAAGTTTGAACTTTCATTGTGGCCCCACCCTACCCCTGGAGGTCATGATTTGAACAAACTTGAATCTACACCACCTGAGGATGCTTCCATATAAATATGACCAATCATAGCTTTCCTGTTCTTGAGAAGAAGATTTTTGAAGATTTTTCCTATATATTCCTATGTAAAACTTTGATCGTCCATTGTGGCCCCACCCTACCCACGGGGGTCATGATTTGAACAAACTTGAACCAACATCACCTGAGGATACTTCCATATAAATATGACCAATCATAGTTTTGCTGTTCTTGAGAAGAAGATTTTTGAAGATTTTTCCTATATACTCCTATGTTAAACTTTAATCTTCCATTGTGGCCCCACCCTACCCCCAGGGGTCATGATTTGAACAAACTTGAACCCACATCACCTGAGGATACTTCCATATAAATATGACCAATCATAGCTTTGCTGTTCTTGAGAAGATTTTTGAAGATTTTTCCTTTATACACCTATGTTAAACTTTGATCGTCCATTGTGGCCCCACCCTACCCCCAGGGGTCATGATTTGAACAAACTTGAATCTACATCTGAGGGTGCTTCCAAATAAATATGACCAATCATAAGTTTGCTGTTCTTGAGAAGAAGATTTTTTCTATATACTCCTATGTTAAACTTTAGTCTTCCATTGTGGCCCCACCCTACCCCCGGGGGTCATGATTTGAACAAACTTGAACCCACATCACCTGAGGATACTTCCATATAAATATGACCAATCATAGCTTTGCTGTTCTTGAGAAGAAGATTTTTGAAGATTTTTCCTATATACTCCTATTTTAAACTTAAATCTTCCATTGTGGCCCCACCCTACCCCCAAGGGTCATGATTTGAACAAACTTGAACCCACATCACCTGAGGATGCTTCCATATAAATATGACCAATCATAGCTTTGCTGTTCTTGAGAAGAAGATTTTTGAAGATTTTTCCTTTATACACCTATGTTAAACTTTGATCGTCCATTGTGGCCCCACCCTACCCCCGGGGTCATGATTTGAACAAACTTGAATCTACATTACCTGAGGATGCTTCCATATAAATATGACCAATCATAGCTTTGCTGTTCTTGAGAAGAAGATTTTTGAAGATTTTTCCTATATATTCCTATGTAAAACTTTGATCGTCCATTGTGGCCCCACCCTACCCACGGGGGTCATGATTTGAACAAACTTGAACCCACATCACCTGAGGATACTTCCATATAAATATGACCAATCATAGCTTTGCTGTTCTTGAGAAGAAGATTTTTGAAGATTTTTCCTATATATCCCTATGTAAAACTTTGATCGTCCATTATGGCCCCACCCTACCCCCCTGGGTCATGATTTGAACAAACTTGAATCTACACTACCTGACAATAATTCCACATGAGTTTCATCTTTCCTGGTCCATTGGTTCTTGAGAAGAAGACTTTTCAATAATGCCATTAATTTTTTGCCATTTCGTAATTATCTCCCCTGGAGGAGGGCGTGGCCCTTCATTTGAACAAACTTGAATCCCCTTCACCCAAGGATACTTTGTGCCAAGTTTGATTGAAATTGGCCCAGTAGTTCTGGAGAAGAAGATGAAAAGGTGAAAAGTTTACGACGACAACAACGACGACAACAACGACGACGCCAACGACGCCGCCGACGACGACGACAGACAACGGACAAATTTCAATCAGAAAAGCTCACTTGAGCCTTCGGCTCAGGTGAGCTAAAAAGGAGTGGTTCTTCAGATACACCACTAATACACATGGTAAATGGTAAACTAATGGTAAAATGGGTGGGTGGGTGGGGTTAGAGCACAAGCGGTTGCAAGATTTTTTCGAGGGACCATACATATAGAGTAGGATAGAATAGAAAGAGGTTTAGCGTAAAATTGAATTTGTTAAAAGGGGATCTCATATGTATCTAAGGATATTCGTAGAGCAGATTTTAGAGAAAAAAGGGGGTATATGAATTAAAGCCATATGGAAAACTTCTTTGTTTTTTGATTGAGTCACTAATTCAAAATATATATTTTTTTATATGAATATAGATCAATAGTTCAAATTCAATGGATAAATTTTAAAATATAAAATAGTTTCGATTTATTGTTTCAAGCAATTAATCATGTCCACCTTCGTGATCCAAGATTGGTTAAGCCTGACAGACTATAAGAGTTATATACCTGTCTATTGGAATTCGGAGCTCTTCTCCCATAAACTTGGCCATTCCTGTGGCATGTTTCGCTTTCGTTGTTTGTGAGATGACGTCAGAGTTGTGATAAAATTCAATGTTCATCATGGGAGCTGATAGGCCGCCTCTCATCATGGGGGTATCCGGGTGGATTTCTACTATAATTCTCTGGGGAAAAACAAAAAGCTATTTCAAGGTTTTTTTTTTATACATATGTATATTGTATTTAATTATTTTACATCATAAAGCAGCACAAATTGGAAGAGATTATCGATAAAGAATGATATTCCCATACTTTTCCTAAGATTTTGACTGCAGAACTGATGTGGGGGGGGGGGGGTACGGAAAATGATAAAAGCATGATATAGGTATAGTTTCCACATACTCCCCTAAAGAGAGATTCATAAATCACTGTTTCCTTTTTTAAAATTTTCCTGTTTGAAAGTTAACTGATGTGTCTCAATTAAACTTATCCCTTATGGTACACTAAATTCTAAAGGTAAAATCTGTATGTACTGATACAAAATGGTTATAATAACAGAAAACATCTGCGTATCTTTGAAAAACGTTACCATGTTACCACTCTTGTTTATTTTGTAAAGCTTCTGAAGATAAAATGAAAGGCCAAAAGCTTTACTGAGGTTTTTCGTGTTTTTCTTCTTTATTTTAAGTATGTATATATATACGTAATTCTCCAAGTATAATTTCAATGTGTTGAGGGTTTTCCCGAACCCCCCCCCCCCCCCAACTCCCTGACCACTGTATCGACATCTATTAAGTCAAGCATTGCAAATCAACAAAACTTAAATGTCCTGGTGATGATTTTGAAAATCTAATTTGAACAAAAATAACAAATGATTAACTGACCTTTGATTCTGTGTTATAGGTCTCACAAAGATACTCCGTCAATTTACTCAAGAAATCCTTCCTTATAGATTGTCGGGGAACATTTGTCTTAATCACCGCTGAAATACTAGTCATTGTCATATTGGTCCCTTCTTAATATAAAAAAAATCAGATCATGAAAATCGACCCCTCAGGTAAAAATCCAAGGTTCCTCGTGAATTTTTTTTAAAACACTAGAAAACGAGCAAGCGAGCCAAGAATAATAAGGTTCGTTTATACTGGTAATCTATAAGATATGTATTGAATTTAAAGTGAAACATATACAAACAGTGCTATTCAAACTTTACTCGGTAGCGATCTTTAAACAATTGCGGGCGCTTTCATTTTCTGTCATGCGGTGACACGGTAGGGACGGTTAATTGTGTATTGCCTCGATCTGATATTTTTAACTTATCCTATCATTAAAGTTTTTATTGATTTTTTAAATAAGTTAATTTTTCAATTTGGCGTGCAATTTTGTTAGAAGACAAAAGATGTTAGTTTTAATTAAAATGCTAATTTATGGTTTTCTATAGCTCCGACTGTCCGTGATTTCACCTCCAATAAAAACGTTTCGTGTGTGGATTAGGTTTAGGATATTGATTTACAGTTTATTTAGAACATTTTAAGAAAAAGAATAAATAGAGGCAAGATATCTTTTTGTATTGCGGAGAACTTTATCCATCACGAATATTTATGTTACTGCTACGTTGCAGTTTAAATTTATTTTTATTAATAGTATCTTGCAGCCAATCCATGAGTGGTTTAAATAAACCTCGAAACCAGAACAGTTTTATGGGTCTGATATTTGCATCGAAGGAATATATTTGAGGAACTTGAAATGTATAAGTACTTGTAAAACAAAGCTAAAAGCTTGTTCTGTTTTCATCTTTTCATAGCAAATGTCGATAGTTTGCAATGAAAGGTCCAAAGTTTAATCAGATACAGTAACAGGTGAAACGTACCTTACATAATGCTTATATAGTTCTTTCAGAGAGAGAGAGTATGTGTATATACTTCAATATATCTACAAGTATAGACCAATATTTTCGAGTTTGCAATTGAAAAGAAATAGATTTATTATAAATATATAGATATATAAAGAGTGGTTCAAAACACATTTTCCAAAAGTAGAACTCATTTCTCGACCGGCAAACATAAGAAAATTGCTTAAAATATCGTATTTGGACAAGAAATTTGACCAAATGCCTCATCGATCTTTTAAATTTCAAGATGTTTTGAATTTGTCTTTAAACAGCAGAGGATTTTTGCTTCAAATAAATAACCTTAATATTTGGGATATGGACCGGTATGACACAAAATAATTTAAAACATATTTTTTCTTGGAATTTCTCCTCTCTCTCTCTCTTAAAATTTTAATTTTGTTGACTTGTGTATAACGTATTTTTATAAAGTTTATGGCTCTACATTGAGTTTTCTTAAGGACAGACAGTGGCGTAGTTATGTGCTTGCATGCCAAAGCATCCATATTAATTAAAAAATATATATTATTATAAATAAATATACAAAATTCTTTGATGATAGAACGAATTTCAACAGTTTCATGCTTCAAAGGTGATTTGCTTTGATTCAAATGCATGAAAAGAATGAATCCTCAAAACACTTTTTTCTCGCCCCTTTTTAAATGCAGAAATTTACATTTTCAAATCAAAACATTGATATATTATAGCTAAAGTCTTCAAGCATAGTCTGTATAGATTCTCATAAAAGATGGGAAAGAGACTTTCAATATATACATTATATCGATTAAATAAAATCGTATACTTCACTGTAAAATCCCGGTTTCGCCATTACAGCATCTTCGCTAGCCAAGGGTTTCTGATACGCTACTCTCCTCATAAACCCTTGGCATACGGTGCTGACAAAAGACGGGATTGTTTTCATCACGTGATCACGATTCTTACCAGGTACGCACAGATTGCGTCATGGACAGAAATAAAAAAGCGTATTTTAAAAAAAATAATGTTTTTAAAGAATAATAAACAAGAAGGTATATTGAGTTATTTTTAATTTGTTATTCAAACATGTTAAAATGCAAATCTACATCTTCAGTATTGATTCTTAATCACATATTTTGTACGTAGCTTAAAGGACTTATCGCATGTTTCTAAATTATTTGAAGTTAAAAGCGTAAAACGTTCCTTATGACCACAGTTTATAAAGTTTGTGTTTTTACTGCGGATAAACCGCGGTAATTAACCAATTATTGACTCAAATGAAAACCTCTGAATTAAAAATCTAAGTTAATTAGATAGCGATCACGTGACCCTGTGACGTCAAAGGCGACAATGGCTGACCAGCTCCTCACGTAATCTTACTAAAACATACGCGATACAACCATAATTTTCTGCGTTATGGACGACCAAATCACTGATTTTATCGATATGAATTTTAATATCCAACCTTATATTTTAGAATTGTCAGCAAGAAATAATCTGAAAAATCCGTTAACATTGGAATAATAGCAGCGACGATAGCGAGGGAGACGCGGCGAAGACGAAGAAACTCGCCATCACAATACAATTTGATTTGTCATTTCATCACATGTATTAACTCATTTGATTCACAAATTTAATATTACATAACTTTGTTATTCTTCGTTTTTAACATAACATTGATTTATGCAAATATGCTTTCATATGTTTTGTAAAGGATGGCGGTTTTGAAAAATAATTTTCCGATCACGAAACATTGCCGTAATCAGACCTACAGATTCTAAATATTTGGAATAAAAAACGAAAATATCTCAAAATTCTTATACCTTAGAACTAATTAATGTTTCTAAAGTAATTGGAAATCACGCTAGGAATAAATTTTTTCAACATTTTTCATAATTAAGCTGCATTTGTCGTTGATAACTTCGTAAATAGTGTGCAACTTCTCATCTCTCTATCACTGAATTGTCGCCTATGACGTCAGAGCAGTATTTCGCCAAAATCCGACTGAAATATGCATATTGCCGTATTTGAATTTCAGCTCTCAATATCTCTTAAAATATGCGTTCAACAACGTTTATTGTATTCAGAATTTTAATAAACAAGGTTGTAGATAATATTTTTCATAAAATTAAGATTTTTGAAAAAATCATGCGAGAAGTCCTTTAAGATATTGGATGACACCATATAGAATGGCATGTTATCTTACGGATCATTGCTTACTTGCTTTTTTCATTCCCAATATTAAAGAGTCAAGATATATCCCGAACGCAAATATCGTCATTTGCAAAAAACAATTGCTGATTGGTCGAACGATGTCGATCAACTCCAATCACAACTTGAGAAAAAAATCCCAACTTTTTTTAACACCGTATGCCAAGGGCTTATGAGGAGTGTAGTGTATCAGAAACCCTTGGCTAGCGAAGATGCCATTACAGCTATGTAGGTCATTGTATTATTTGAATGAGAAGGCGGAGCGTCTATCAAGCGTGCGATTAGTATAAATACATTAGCGTGTGTTCGAGGTGTACTAAGTTTGATGATAAACTGACACCTAAAAAGCCTTTTTTCATGCTAGAGACCGACAAAATATAAACATACATTTTAGTTTGGCTGGCTTAACTTTGATTTCTTTTCTGCTTAACTTACGAGTCGTATTTGAAATGATTTACTAGAAATTCGTTAAATTATATATACATTAAATACACAATGGAATTTGGAAACAGAACGTATAACGAAGGATACACTATTTTTCATACTTTAAAGAAACCTTCTTCTTTTTTTTTTGAAAAAAGGGATAGTTTATCCATTTAAGCTTATTACATAATTAGGAATTTTTCATACATATTTATAATTTTGCAAAATTCGAGTGCTACAACAAATACACGTAGGTGGTTGAATTATGATATAAAACTACTCTCGGTGTATAAAAAATAGATACTTAAGAAAGTGAAAATTTAAACGTCATTTAAACGGTTTGTTCCCGTTTTGCACACATTTGAATTTCAGGTATTGAAAAAATGTGTGCAAAACGGGAATTTGTCCAGGTAATATAATTTATTTACTTAATTGCTATAGTCTATATCATATATAGTTGTGAATTTGGAGAAAGATTCTACGGAAAGAATATGAAGAAAAAATGTTAATTTTGTACTTGGTATTTTGACTTAGTTCTTGAAAAAATCATTTTAGAACATAAAAATAACACAAAACTATAATCATATTCACATGATATTAACTAGACAGGTTAATTTAAGATTGAATTCATTTACTTATTCATTTTATCTTTATGAAATAAAGAAACATGGTGATATGCGATAGGGATATTTGTCTAAACTTCCAACTTCATCTTCGGTTGGATAAGTAAAATTCTCATAATGTATTCCCTTAAATATTTATTATAATGCATTGGTAAAATACAGGTAAATCCCAGACGAAGATCCGACTATAATTGCTATCAAAACATATTTCACCTCTATTGTTCTATATCTAATTATCAAATGTGTGCAAAACGGGAACACACCATTTAAACGTCAGTATCCTGAAACATCCGTGTCAGTGTACTTTGTACAGTCCAAATTGCATTGTTTCAAAAAATCCTGTTTATTCATGCCAGACAATTAAGTTAATGATCTACCTCATTTAGGAATTCATTAATCGTCGAAATCCACTCCTGTACTTTTTGATTTTAACAAACTCTTTCCCTGTAGTAAGATAAATAATAAATCACTCCGAGGTATTTTTAACGCCCTTTTTCATTCGACTGATATTTTTTTTTTTACTAACATCTACGTTGATTGGATATGTGAAAGGGTCATACAAATGCATGTTCTTGCTTTCAAACATACCTGCGAACATGGACTTTTTTTTTTTTACATGATCTAAAAAAAAAAATGTAAAATTTTGTGCCGATGTAAAAAGTTATAGTATTTGCTTCAGAAGAAACCTGAAGTTTCCTTCTATTCAAATTAGGGGTGCTTTTTGTGCAAATTTATTCATCCGATAAATAGGTTTTTTGAGCGCTCCGTACTTCAATTTCTTTCCATGAAGGTTTCTTCTATTGGAAGTATGCATTTGTGCACTTGTAACGAACAATTTATTTTTCTAAAGATATTATGAATTGGTGTTTTTCAAATAACGGACTATAAAATTAATGACCGTTTTAACTGAAAAAAATTTCATATCTTCCAAGTCAATGAACGGAGCACTGATGTATATTTAGGAACAAGGGCAAAATGTATAATATATACCCAGTTACCCACAGGCCCACAGTAATTTAAATTTTAAAATTCTGTATTTATGAGACACAAGCAGTAAGTGCAAGCTATTTGCTCCAGGACTTCAATATAAATTGATAGATACCGAAAAAATCAAACAAAATCCACTGAAAATCTTAGCACATCTTAATCATAAAAAAGTTTTCTCCCAGAATTTTAATTACTCATTTGAAAAATGATTTGACCATCGATGGCTCGCAGACACTAGACACAATGTCGCATAGGTGTGCTCAAAGCGTGGAAGTGAATATATTTGAGTCCCGTGTTCAGTGCTTTGTTATTCATGAGGTCAAAGACGGGTTGAAATTTGTAAACAAGGTGCCTTTACTATGGAGACAAGCACCCGCGATTTTGCACCTTTTTGGAAAATAACAAATGAGCGCAAGACTGTTTCAATTTCTTTCAGGAATGTAAAGGACTAGTATAACTCTTTACATTGACCGTATTTACGACAACTTGAAACATCCATGCGCTCATATAAAAATGGGCTTGCAAAATGGGGGTGTGGCCTAAAGTCTATGAGAAATCGATGTAAACAACATACCCCTGCTATATTAATCACATAAATACCTAATTACAGCGCAAGGAAGTAAAAATTGAAATTGAAATTAATAAACAACAATGTTTGATGCAAAGACTGAGGCAAAAATATGTAGAAAATCTTTAATTTAATTTTTTGTAAATTATTGGGGGGGGGGGGGGCAGATTTGGACGTTTAAACGATTCATCCTTTAATTATTTCATGTTCTAACAATCATTATAGCTGTCAGTCAGATTTCTTGGATTCTGAATACTAGTATATTTTTACTGTATATTCTAAGACCCAATCCAACACTCCTACACATTGTCAATTTCTGCAGAACTTTAAGAGGCGTCCCTCCCTGGATACGATTGGGGGGGGGGGTATGTGGCCCCAGATGCTCTGCAGTCAGAAAAGCGTCAGTATTATTCTTGCTTAGCTACGCCACTGACAGATGATACAAACTTTTTTTCACGAATCATGAAACAACTGAAATCATGTTTATAAAAGTAAAATGAATAAGTTTAGCCGTATATTTAATTTTTTTTTAATCAAAGTTTCCCAATATTCTTCTATAAAGTGATAAAAAGTTGTATAGATTTATAAGGGTGATGGCAAAAAGGTAGAATTTTGAACGTGATAAAAGGTCTACAATTTCTTAAAGCTATATATGGCGTATCGTATCTGAGCTAAAAAATAAATAAATAAATAAATAAAAATACATGACTGAGTGTAGATAAACATGATATATGTTATTTACGTTCAGATTAAAATTTTCATCGATTTTGAAGATGAATAACCTCATGTTTCCATAGTTAAATTGACTAATAAACTGTGTCTGTTATTTAAATGCGGAGTCGGTAAATACATAGGTTATTGTTTTAAATTTCTAATATCTTTGAAACGTGGTTGATTTTAAATTGTGTAATTTACAGGAAAGTCCTATCTTTATATAAAGTAAATAAACAAATAGAAAGACCTTTTTAATTTTAGTTAGTCTGAACTTATAAAAAATACGCTATATATGACTTAAATATTTTATCATCACCTAAACCTTTGTATGCTGGTGTTCTTCAGGGCTCAGTATTAGGGCCACTTTTGTTTTTAATCTATGTGAATGATGTTGCTGACAATATGATCACTTTATGTAGACTATTTGCCGATGACAATTCTTTGCAGCATTCATCTCAAAATATGAAAATTATTGAAAGAAATCTTAATCAAGATCTTAATGCACTGGAACTTTGGTCAAAAAAATGGTTAATGAAATTCAACCCCTCTAAAACTAAAGCAATAATTTTCAGCACAAAGAAAAACATCGAATATCCTAAGCTTCTCTTTCAACAATGTCAATTGGACTTTGTCACTGAGCACAAACACCTTGGAGTATTATTTTCTAAGGATGCTAGTTGGTCATCACGTATTGAAAATTTACTGGCTAGTGCCTACAGAAAATTGGCTCTATTAAAAAAATTACAATTTAAAATGAATCGAAAATCTCTCTCCCTTATGTATACGTCATTTATAAGACCACAACTTGAATATGCTTCTGTGGTATGGGGCTGCTGTCAAAACAATGATAACGATAAACTAGAAAAATTGTCACAGGTTTAACAACTATAGCCTCTAAAGATTCACTTTACTTCGAAACGGGATGGGAACCACTTAGTTGTAGAAGACAGACAGCAAGATTAAAGACATTTTTTAAAATGCATAATAATTTAGTACCAGATTATCTAATGGACATACTTCCCAATATGCGATGCAATACATCTAGCTATTCTACTAGAAATTCTGAAAATTATGATATTCCAAAATGTAGATTACAGACTTATAAGTCATCGTGTACTCCTACTGAAGTTAATGAATGGAACTCATTACCACTTGAAAACAGAAACTTACAACTGTTGTCAAATTTTAAATCTAAAATAAGTATTAAAAAATCTGCCCCACCGTCATACTTTGAATATGGTAACAGGCGACTGAATGTTCTCCAGACCAGACTTCGACATAATTGTGCATTAAATATTGACCTCTACAGATGTAATTTAATCTCAAGTCCTTTATGCTCATGTGGCAAAAAAGAAGATTCGTATCATTATTTTTTTTATATGTCCAAAGTATAAAGAAGCCAGAAAGGAATTTCTTGACAAATTTTTATTATTTGATAAAATTCACATTTTAGATACACATGTTTTATTATGGGGGATAGATTCATTGAGTGCTGTGGAGAATGAACGTCTTTTCTGTATTGTTCAAACTTTTATTAAACATTCTGGCAGATTTACATGTTAGTATTATTATAAATATATTTATTTATATATACATGTATATACAAAATTATATGTATGATTTTTTAAAATGCATTGATTTGTAAATTTCACTAATATTGAATATTTTGAATGTACATATTTAACTGTGACCTAATTTAATTTAATTTAATTTTTTGCAATTTACATGTAGGGAGAGGGCGTAATAAGTTTTTAGAACTTGTACCCAATCCCTTTGTAATTAGAAACTACAATAAAATATGTTCAAACCAAATATGTTAGAAATTTTATATAAATTTGTATCATTTACATCCAAAATACAGGCATTATTTATTTATTTTATTATTAATTTTATTTCAATTAATTAATTAATTAATTTATTTATTTATCCATCTATCTATTTATCATCATCTGTCGATTCAAGCTTCGTATTTTAAAAAATATATATATTTTAGGTTTTGGGTCCGAATAAAAATCTTTTAATGCTACCACTTTCGTCCAAGGAGGTCGTCTATCGACAAAAGAGAGATAACTCTATCTATCACACACTTACTTCCGTTTCGACGTATCTTTTTGTAAAGTAAACATTGATTGGGAAATCGTTGTGCAATTTTGACTTTGTTGTCGATATTTTTAAAAATGATGAAAATGCAACTATTTAAAGTGTGATGAAACCGTGTACCACATTTCTTTCAATTCATGTTGATTAGGTAGTGATGAAAAACTGACAGAATTTGTTTGAAACTGATTCTGCTTTTCTGTTGATACAGGTATGTAAACAAAGTAAGTATAAAAAGGTAAAAGGTTTGTGCTTAGTTATCGTATTCATAAAATTTGTTGCCAAAAAATGAAATTATATACAATTCAATATAACTAATAAAACGAATATTTCATGTAGCATTTCGTCGTTTACAAAACGTCATATGCTACATTGTACTTCCTTATTCATGTTATTGTGTGCGATCCTCTATTAAACCCATGGGCGTGTAAAATAATATATTAAATTATTTATTGATAAATATTACATATATGTTCTATCTTCTAGATTCGTCAAAAAAGTGGTCGTTAGTTAATGATTTTTATCAAATTGAATGAGATGTTTTTACACGTCGGGAGCAATCCCTTGCGGTTGAACAGTTATTGAAAATATACTGGGGTGCCTCAGGTCCCCCCCCCCCCTTCCCATGCATAAATTTACAGTTACGCTTTAAACCAACTCATTTTGTGTCATAATCACGAAAATTCTAATATACACGTATTGACATATATACGAGACAAACACAGGTCTTGTGTGATATTCAATTAAAGTGTATCATTGAGGGAGATATTTTTTAATACAAGACTTCAGTTCCCAGAGACGAATTAAGCAGGGGAAATAGTCCTGGTCGAGGGTAACTAGAATCTTGCTAACTCCTTCAATGATATGCTTTTTAACTGGTTTTTTTTATACCGACACAAAAGTAAAATGAAAAGGATTACGGATATTCGGGAAATAGCTTTCGAAGCAGAGATTATACATGAAGCTCACTTGACTAATGCAGGTCAGCAAAACGGGTATTTTCGCCTTGGGAAATACCCTGACCTCGGGGATATGTAATCTTGCAAACTCCCTCAATAGGATACTTTATTTTTATATTCTTATATATTGTTTTGCCTTAAAAAAAATATTTTCCTACATAATACTACCAAAAAAAGTCAAGGTCAAGAGATCAAAAATGTTGTTGCCCAAAGAAAGGGCTTGCGTCAACGAATTAGAGAATATACCTGGTAAATATGAAAGCCCAAGTACCAGCCATTCAAAAGTTGTCGTCAAGGTTAAAGTTTTCTAAAAGTGGATCAAACTCCAAGGACACAATTAATGGTACACAGGGGAAGACCTTGTCATATTAAGAAATACACTAGCAAAATGTAAAAGCCCTACATCAACTATTCATAAGTTATGGGAAAGGGTAAAGTTTTTCAAAAGTAGGTCAAACGTCAAGGTCAAAATTGTTGGTATACAAAGGAATGTCTTGTCACAGGGTATATACCTGTGAAATTTGAAAGCCCTTGTGCTAACTGTTCAAAAGTTATGGCCAAGGTTAAAGTTTTTTAAAAGTGGGCCAAACTCTTAGGTCAAGGTCAAAAATATTTATACCCATGGAAAGGTCTTGTCACGATGAATGCAGATATGTAATATGAAAGTCCTAGCTCCAACTGTTTGAAAGTTATGGCCAAAATTAAAGTTGAGTAATTTTTTTTTTTGAAAAAAACCTTTGGCCTTTGAAAAGTGGGTCAATCTCCAAGGTCAAGAGGTCAAATATTTTGGTACTCAAAGGAATGTCTTGTCACAAGGAATACACATGTGAAATATGAAAGCCATATTTCCAACCAATCAAAAGTTATGGGCAATGTTAAAGTTTTTGCGGACGAACAGACAGACGGACGGACAGGGCAAAAACTATATACCCCCGAATCTTCGATTTCGGGGGCATAAAAAAAGACTGAGCAATCAGAATTATGCTTATGGACCGGTTGGTGAGCTCTTAGAAATGCCGGTAAGATGTTGGAGCTGCTTTGATGGTTTCTGAATTTGCAATTCGTTTACCTTAGTTGGGTGGGATAATCTTAAACAACTGAAGAAGCTAGGTCTAACTGCGTTGTTTTGTGTTCGACAGTTACATAAAAAGTAAAACATTTATGAATTAGCAATTCGTTTACCTTAGTTGGATTCGATAATCTTAAACAATTGAAGAAACTAGGTCTAATTGCATTCTTTGGTGTTCGGCAGTTACATAAAAAGTTTAATAAAACATTTATTGATTGGTTTTTCCCGACAGAATGCGTTTTGTCAAACCGTTGCCTAAAAAAGCCTCTGAATTTGGTTCTCGGGATCGACTGAACGCATGTTGTCGTCGAACTAATATATTTTGTTGATAAATGTTACTTTCGTTTTGCAGAATGTGGACGGTTATTGCAAACATAGCATGCATCGAGACAATCACCAAAAAAATCAGATCAAAGGACCGAATGAAGTATTCTAATGGATCTGTCCAATCAAAGAGGGTAAATACAGACACATTTTCTCTCCGAAATGGAGGGCAACTTTTACCTCATAAAGGAAGCGAAAGTTGGATTTTTCTTCGAACCTACCAGTGGACCAAAGAAAATGAAATTAGTCGGTCCTTTATGAGGCAGGTGTTTTTCTTCTACTTATGCAGAAAGGACAGTTTGTCGCATTACGTAGCGGAATTGGGTATTCTGCATTTTTTTTCTATCTACCAGAAAGTGTGTGGTGTTTCTATAGAAGACAATGCAGCTGTCCTGTCTTGGAAAACCATCGCCCCTTACATGTATGATACTTACCATCATGCCGATCTACTGAGATGCCAGACTCTAACAAAACGAAAACTAAATGTAGTGAAGGTCTGTGTTACTGTTGAGGAACATGCAGTCGGACATGAATTCGAAACTAACGAAGGGATGGTACAGTTAAAAGCATTTTCCAAACTAGTACGAAAAATGATTCCCTTGCCAGTTTGTGGTGAACAGCTGATGTGTTACGTCAAAGGTGATGTGTATTTAACGGGTATCCTGAAATATTTCTTTATTCGTCAGGTTTTTACGGACACCGGGGTTGTTTTGGGTAGGTCTGAATATGATGACATGCACCGCCGTTTGGAATCTTGCAGACGACTACAGGAAGGATTTGACGTAAGTGTCGACGATTTTTCACTAAAACTTGCTGAGGCAGGGTATTTTCTGACTAATGACATCAAATTGGCTCAGTGTTTCAAATGTGGCGGGGTACTGCAGCTAAAACAGTTTGATTTTGACCCTTGGGAGGACCATGCTTACTGGCACCCTAGCTGTCCATTCCTCCTAAAGGCCAGAGGTCAGGAGTTCGTCGACAAAGTTCGACTTGAACTGAAGCAGAGATGTGATTTCAATTCAGAGTGTGTTTTCACGTTTAAGCTTCGAAATTTAGCTCCCGTTCAACCGTCAAGAAGATTACCAGCAGAAAGTGAATCGAGCGACGAATCAGATGATTACGAGGAGGAGGATGACGATTATTTTGGATCAGAAAGTCCCGAGAGTGATTATTTCTCTGACGATGAGTTTTATTGATTCCTTTTGAAAAACGCTTATACTTCTATTTAAATTATTGTCATCATAATATTTTATGCAGACATTGTTTTGTTAACATATGTACATAGCTACATAATTTCAACTTTATCATTCCTCAGTCTCTTTCGGAGGAATGCTTAGTAATCTGAAACATGCCGAATGTAAGTTCATTGCTTGTTTCAATAATGCAAGATATGTAACTTTAACAAGTGATGGGAATTCAGCGCTAATATAGTGTCCATGTAATTCGAATATCACTCTGTTTATTGATGAAAAAAAATTATTTTTGTAATTGATATTTTGAATAAACAAATGGAAAGATTGAACTTTCCTGTTACTGTTATAAGGTGAGACAACCCAAACATTTTGGTATTTACGGGGGTGCATTTTCTGTGAAATTCTTTGGTGTTGTGGAGCAATATGACCATTTTTTCAAATCTTTATCTACTTCCAAATTTTCACTCATGTCCAAAAGACTCCTTAGCTTCTGACTTAGCTCCTGACTGAAATCCATTAGAAAAGACATGACTATCTTCATACGGAGATTTTGAACATGCAGAAATGAACCCAATAATATGCTTGAAAACTACTCACTGTGGACCGTCACCTGACCTGTTACAGACATGAGGGTATAATTATCATACATGGGCCTGAACAAAATGACACAAATCATGATTAAATCATCATCTTGATTAAATAACAAGAAATACACTAGAGTTGTATCTAAATATATAGACACAAAGGGTTTAATATGTACTAAGTTAAACTTTTACTTCGCCATTCGATTTGTTGCTTAGCTCGGCACCAAATCTCGTGGTACTCGGGAAAAGTTTACCAACATATACAAAGTACATGTAAATGGTATTATACGTAGTGAGGTTTGCTTAATGAAGCGAAATCAATCCTATGGTTTTCTCTGTATGAGAGAGAGAGAGGGGGGGTGTTTACTCGTATATAGTAATATATTCATTCAGTTCATTGTATATGCACACCTTGACTTCTTGTATGGAGAGGGTATTTATAGGCATTGCAAGCCTGTTGCCCAATCTATTCAGTGTACTGAATAAATATTGTTTAAAGTAACAATGAAGTCCTGTATTTTAATGGTCATTTATTATAAAAGAAGATGGGTGAACAAGGCGTGCAGAATGCCTATAGCTTCAGATATTAATAAAATCATATTCAATTTGTGAATTAAGTATTTAAAATAAAGTTCTCATTATTGAAATTTATGAAATTATGATTAACAAAACTTTTCTGAGAAAAAAGATCTCGGAAAAAAATATTCTTTTATTAAAAAAATAAAATGCTATTCTTGGGATTCGAACCCCTATCAATAAAAATCCGGAGTATCATATTGTTTCGAGACCAACACGCTAACCACTACGCCACGCAGCTCCTGACGAATAGTGGCATTTAAATCATATTTGTGATATGACCCTTGACAAAATGGATTTCAAGTATTTCTCGGAAAGATGCGAATGCTTTGTCATAAAAGTGTACTTTTAAGGTATAGTGGGTCTTTGCTCCATGTTTTTGTAAACCAAAAAATGTATATTTTTATGCACACTTTTAGGATCAACTTTCAAAAAAATGGAGCGAAGACCCACTCATATCGAAAAATTTTGTTAAAGTGTGAGAAAATGATTCTTTTTGTCCTCTTTAGTGTGTGTATGCTATTTCGTAGGCAAATAATTTCAGTCTTTGTGAGATTTTTGTAAATTGTAGAGATTTAGCATAAAATATACTTTAATGTTAGATGAAATATCAAAGAAAATTTTTATATAATTGAGATTTTATTTTTCACTTCATGTTTGTCGCACTATAGGCACTTCGCCCGCCTTGTTCACCCATCTTCTTTAGCACTTTTTATCAAAGTCAATAAATTATGCAAACATATATACAAGAGTAGCACTATTTTTTCAATTAACGTACTGACCAATCGAACACGTCAATAATTAACCATGCCAGAGTCATATCACCAATAAGGTATTAGCATCTCTAAATTCTTGACTTCTAAAACTGTTACTAAAGTTCTTCATTTTCTTTATTAAAGCTTTAGTGTCCACCAGTTTTGTTTTGCGAGACTGTCTCCTGAGTAACCCTCTCTTTTTCGTGCCATTTGTGTTATTCTTCTGTGATGCTCGGGGTTTTTCGAAGACAGAATCATCTCCCATTGAACCAAGAGTTGAGCAGCCAGATATGCTCACGTTTCCCATTGCCAGATGTCTGTTGCATTTCTTTTGCAACTTATGATGCTTAGTAGAATCACTGGAAATTTTGATCAATGAATCACTTAGATCGGGAACAGTATGAGCATCTGTATTTCTAGTAAGGCTGATTTTTGTACTAGTGAGAGGAAAGTTTGCTAGGTCATCATCAACATGATCAAAGAACGACATGTTGCTTTCCTCGATCACGCTGTCTTTGATACATAACGTACTAGAAGTGATGTCATTTATCCGAAAGCTGCTACCATCCATTTCCATCGTTTCTTCCACTAAAACATCACGTCCAATCAATGTAGAGCAAGCGCGTGGATGACTTCTCTGTTTGCTCATCTTCTGACTCTTTGTAGCGCTTTCTGAGATCCTTTGGTTGATCATGGTTGATGATGCTCTTGGACAAGATCCGTCTTTCTCGTTTTTGGATAAGGAATGCTTAGTTGAGTTCTCACAGCCTTCAACAACTCTATAAATTTTCTTCCCGTCGACATCCAAAACGGGCACAAGTTGACTTGTCTCAATTCTCCTCTCAGCAACATTTTCCTTCTCAAATTCTTTCTCAGTCTCAGCAAAAAAGAAAGTTGTATTGGTTTCTTCGCTCAAATAACTGACCATGGTGTCGTCGCAAACGCTTTGGTCATTGTTTTCTTGCGGACTGATGCCGAACGTATCTTCCTCGGCTAGATTAGAAATGGCAGTTACTCGTGTGAGAGAGCCAGGCGTGGAAAACTGGAATGAAGGACTTCCTAAAGTCTTCTTGACCGGGGTAGGAAAGGGGAAATTGTCCGAGGAGATTCCGCAATGCTTAATCATGGAAACAAATCCCCTCTCAATATTTTCAAGTTCCATTTGAAATTCCATTTCCTTTTTCTTTATTTCCAACTATAAAAGATATATTTTTGGTTTGGTAAATAAATGTATTGCGAGTTTAAAAATGTTATTAAAAAGTTCAGTGCATGTTGATGAAATGCTTAAGGTAACCTTCAATTATATTTCTTTAAAATAAATAGCTTACCAGATCGGCTTGGAGGATGAGGATTTGTTCTCTCGGTTCTAGATTTGACATCTCGGAAATATCTGTGTATTCTGAAATTCAGTTGAAAACGTTAGTTCGAGAGTAAAATACATTAGAGAAAAAGCGTTTGGGATTTCCAAATGACTTTGATATATCCATGTTATTCGATGTTTGAGATTTCTGAAGTGAAATGCCTTTTACTAAGTACGTGCTTCTCTATTTACGTGAATCATTTATATCAAATTAATATTTTTTTTTTTTACCTATTTTTAGTGAAGAATTTCTCTAAATAATTGGCAGTATTTTCTGGGTATTTATTTTTATGTTGATTTGTATTTCAATCGTTCTCGTTTGTTTTGACGTTGCAAGTTTGAGATGTTTATATATATTCTTTTTAAAAAATAACAATGAAGTAATACAACCTTCTAATTTGCTTTTTTAGCACGTGTCTCATTATTAAATCTGACTCACTAATAACACAACTAAAATCATTGTGTACACACTGCACTTGCGTATGCTTCAAGATTCATTTGAGTATTCATACAAAAATTAGTTTGAAAATTGGTGAAACGCGTGGAAAAAAAACAACATATTGATTTAGTAACTTACCATGAAAAAGTAAAGTACTGTCCATGTTTGTAATGGCATAAAGAAGAAGGCCTTGAATCTGCTTGACTGGAAATTTAAGTTGATCTATATCCCTCAAAAATAATCACAGATATTTATAGTGAATAAATTCATAATTAAGGATTCAAATTGTGTCTTAAATACCTCTTGATTAAGTGTTTTCGTGTTAATTTATTTAACACTTTCCAGTATTTGTGAACATAAACACCCCTCCGGATAGCAATTGCAATTCACCATCTCATAGGTGGCGATGAGATGCATTTAAATTCAATTAACATTTTTGTGTACTTAATTATTAAAATTGATATTTTATGGGTATGGGTAGCCAAAAAGGAACTATCTAATGATATTATTTTATTTTTATTTTTCTTGCGATTATATACTAAGCATTCTATTTAAAAAAAAAAAAAAATAGATATATAAATTTTATTTAATTTATTACTTAATAAAGATATATTTTGGGTTTTTTAAGCTTTGACCTTGAAAAAAGCAACAAAAGTAAATTATTTATTTAAATTTTATCATCTTGTGTGAATTTTACAGAATTATACATTATTAGTAATAATTCTCATTGAATCGTTAATGGCTGTTGAGATAGAATATCTTTTTGTAAAAAAAAAAAAAAAAAAAAAAAAAAAAAACAAACCAAAAAAAAAAAAACAAGATATTAAAAAGTCTTTCCGTTTTGATTTATAATTCAATATTTGTTTTTATTGGTTCTAATTTAATTTGACACATGATATATGTAGCAAATAGAACAGTGACCTATATGTGAAAAAATATTTTCTATATACAACATGTAAGGAAAGCGCGTATAAGTTTTTCGAACTTCTTGCCCAGTCCAATTTATAAATGTTTATAGAAAATAAAGTATGTTCAAAGCAATGATCTTTTATATATGAAAGATTTAAAACTTCATATTGGAGTCTAGAATAAATGTGCTGTTTAATTTCCCAAATTTTAAAATATAAATCTATAAATCTAATATAAATCAAAGTGATCTTGATAAATTTAAAATTAAGTAATCAAAATTACTAGATTTTTTAAAAAGTCAATTATTGTGAATAAACTCTGAATTACAAAATTCAGTAAACATCCATGTATTGTTCTTCCAGCTTTTCCGAACAATTTCAAACTTAATCCAAGACGAGATTGTACTCTATCCAACATCAGAAATTCAATGTTATGGTACTTTTTTTTTTAATTACTTTGATTTAATAAAACAAATGAATATAAAAACATGGCAGTGTACATGTTTTTTACACACCATATTGGAAAACATATGTTGTAACTAAATTAAGGTGGTAACAGATGTGTAAACTCTTCTTAATTACATTAACACATGGCCTTAATTACACTGAATTAAGTGTAATTTTGTTTATAAAAACATACCAATATTGGAATGGTGATATGACAATCAACACAAATATTATCTGATACTGCCTTGGGTTATTCAAATAAAAAACGAGCCAATCATATGCCGTTATTTTCAACAAGAATTTGAAGAGCAATTGTCACGTTTTGGAATGGTTAATGAGTAGTATTGGTATATAAAAAGAAATGTTGAAAAAAATATCGTATATATTTGATTTAGATTTTGCAACAAATAGACGTATTTCCAGTCGAATACTCCTTTCTCCATTCGAACAATGAATTTCGACCAATGTGTGCCGTCTTTGGAACTAGAAGGCGAAATACTGGAGCGGATAGTCGAGGGATGTGAAGACAAATTCCAGAGTAGAAAAACTTCCTACAGTTCGGATTGCAATAGCAAGCAATCAGTAAGTCAGAAAAATAAGATTTACTTTGCACATCCTCTAGCTTCGTCAACCATGATTGAGAGCGTTCCTGACGAGAAGGATTCTGGTTGCTCGTGTGAAAGTGTGTACACCTGGACTATCCAAGAAAGTGAAGAGGACTTTATTCTCGAGGACTCTTACATGAAAGGTATTGACCTGTGTATGTACGAAGACCAGGCACCCGAGTCTTTACCAAAGTCATTCCAACGAACAAGCACGAAGGCCGACCTAATTCCCGCCGCAGTCCAGGAAGTTCCGAATGTATGCAGTCATGGGAAAGATAAGAAAGATGCCGCTAAAAAACCAATGGATTTTTTGAAAAATCTTTTGCGCATCAAGAAGTATAAAGAGTCGAATCAAGAAGGAAAAGCTGCTTTTGATAAAAGGAACATTTTGAAGAAGATGAAGCGATTTAATGAAAGCATGGTTAACCAAAAACAAACTCTTGCCATGCTTTAGTTGATAATTCTGACATTGTTTTCATAGTGCTAACTATTGTATCTAGTGCTTTTATTTGTAAAATAACCTTAATAAATTAATCAGATTACAGAATTTCATCTTATTTTAAAATTGACATTTGTAATGTATTAAATGAGGGAATTTATTAAAACCGCTAATGTAGATGGACGAAGGGGTATTTTATCACATGTATTGTCCGTCTGCCTGCTGCAGTATATCTAAAGCAATTGAAAAAAATGAAATCATTATCCTTTTTGGACAAAATCGGCCCTTCGACAAGAAAGATTAGGTTCACTTTGGAGATGGAGGCCTCTGCTGGTGGACTGTTAGTCCCCTAGGGTCTCTACAGCCCAGTAACCTAGTACTTTGGTACTAGCTTGAAAACACGGATATATATTTAATTGCTGTGGTCAATTTTAGAAAACTGTTTCAAAATTAAGGATTATTTCCCTCATGCATAGCTCTGATCCTTCTAGGTATTTGGCTCCAGTCTTAGGCACCTTTTTCTGCTCCACCAGGTCTTTTTATTTAATTTTTTTGGATTTCCTACGTTTCGGCTTGAGCATCACTGAAGAGACATAATTTGCAATTGTCGAAATGCACATCTGGTGCATCAAAATTGGTACCGTATAGGATTTACAATATGGTTATTACATATACAGTGTGCATTTGTTATTTTTTTTAATATCAATATGTACTAAGAACAACGTGTAATGACTTTTTCTTCGCTTGTCAAGGAATTATTTCGGTTGTGCCCCCCCCCCCCCATTCCCGAAAATGAAAACGAAATTGCTTTATACGGGCCGGAAATATGTGTATTTTATTTAACCAAATATATTCTCTTTGTCAAGGTTCAGAAACAAAGATATTGAATTGAGTTCTTTCTGGTAAAATCATTGTACCAAGATTATTTAACTGCACATGACGATGGCTTTCCTCAGGAACGGGGGGGGGGGGGGCACAGGGGACAGCCCCCCCCCCCCCATGATTTTGCCAATATATAGAAAACTATAGAAAACATGGCTAATATTTGCTTGTGTCTCCACAATAATAAAGTCTAATGACCGTTTTAGCTTATATGTGATCTAGGAGAGATTTTAAACAAGATTTTATTTGGAGTATTAGTAAATGTTTTTTGTAACTGATTAAAATCTAGAAACGAAAACCGATCAATTCCCGACTTGGAAGTGAACGACTTGGATAAACACCTGGCTGTGCACAAGTTTTTAGCTCACCTCGACGAAGTCGAGATGAGCTTATACTATACCCCCGGCGTCGATGTCGGCGTCGGCGTCCCAGTTAAACTTTTAGGAACAACTTGCATGGATGATTCATCTAGGGATGGACACTACCACGCTTGCTTCGGATGCTGGATCTGACCTAGATTTTCCAGATGAGTGACCAGGTAAAAGTTTTTGCAGCAGTTCCCATTCCCAAGTAACTATATGCCCTACCTGGACCAAACTTGCATGAATGATGCATCTAGGGATGGACACTACCACACTTGCTTCGGATGCTGGATCTGACCTAGATTTTCCGGTTGAGTGACCAGGTTAAAGTTTTTGGAGCACATCAACAAAATTTGTTTTCCTAAAATTTTCAGATAAATCAGTGCATTAAGGTAAAATATAAACATTTCATCAATTTCTTCTCTTGTTTTGACTGAAGTCCCCTTTCCGTTGTCTTAATAATTTCATCTTTGAAGCCAGAACTTCTCTCGAATGACAAAATTCATCCTTGTCTTCAATAATGTTCATTTGTCTATTATTCTCCTTCAGATACCTGTTTATACTTTAACGGCTCCGGCTAATACTTTTTATTAACTAGTTTCTTTGCTGTCATAAAACATAGGTAATCAAAGAAGCACAACCTTTGGCCCTCGGCCTGACATGGGGCCACTCGGGCTGATATGATTTAGTATGTAATATTCTGTATTTAGCGTTTCCTCCTCGAAAATCAAAGAATTATATACTGACACATAACATATATCTACATGCGAAAACGATCGAACTTTGTATACAAGCTGAAAAAAGACATACATGTACGTATTTGTATAAGAACTGAACATATTTCAAATTGACTCAACGTACAGCTGTGTAGACTCGGTATATAATATTCAAGATATTTAATATATTTGGTCACTTGCACACTTGATTTCTCTGCAATTTTCCAAACTTTATTTTCTAGACTTGATTTCACCGTATAAATTATGACCCAGGCTGCTTTCGAAATGTGTTTTTCAAACACATGGTATTACGAATAACCGACATTATAAAATACTTTAAATGTTTTAGCTCACCTATATATAAGTCAAAGGCTCAAGTAATTTTATCTGATCGAAATCTTAAGTTTTTCAACTTATACTTCTTCGGACCAATATAAAACTAAGTTTTCTTAGGAAAAAGGGATATAATATTAAGATTTATTCCAATAAAGGGTGATGTCCAATTTCAAAGGGAGATAATGAATAAAAAGAAAATTGGTGGGGTCATTTTAAGATCTTCAAAAAAAAAAAAAACAAAACAAAACAAAACAAAACACACACACATGCACACAAAAAAAAACTGTATGTATGAAAACTTCCTTAATGAGTGTAGAGATTCAAATTTATTCAAATTAACGCCCCGGAGTAGCATCGGAAATATAAACATGATCTAAAAAAAGTCCCCCATTCCATTGTAGAAAACTCAAATTTCTGCTGAAATCTCTTCGATTCCAAGAAAAACTGAATTGGTCCTTTTTTTATTGA